TATTTCTAATATGCCAGGATCTCAACATCACATACATCATCAAAGTCAGATAAAGTTTAAAACTATATCCCTGGATGACAGTTACATACACATACTTTTACAGTCCCAGCCCCATGATAAGGTGTATGCAAAAAAACATAAAATTTATGTACATCAACCTTAGATGGACACTTAAATAGAAAGCCAACATCTTAACAACTTCACAAAATGGATGGCCTTGTATAGTGCCTGGACACATAAAGGTTGACAAAAGGAAGCGGCGTCAAGGCTAGGACTGACCTCCTGATTGATGACCTACAGAATAGACATAATAGAGAGTGAGCCAGGCTCAATGAATAGTAATACATAAAAAAAAACGATGTTTAACTCGAAGCATAAAACACATCAATACATATAAAGATGCAGAGTTCACATGGTTAGTCTGATTCTGTGCTAAGTACATAACGGCCTTAGGCCCAATCCTACAACATAAACATATGGCTATAAGCCCTTGAAACGTGATGGCACGAGGCCCTTGGAACATGTGGCACGAGGCCCTTGAAACATATGGCACGAGGCCTTTGTAACATATGGCACGAGGCCCTTGAAACATACTTGAAACTTATGGCACGTGGCCCTTGATACATATGGCATTAAAGCCCTTACATCATGAGAATAGGCAAGGTGATCATACATTTACATTTCTTTAATCATCCGCATGGTGCATAATCAACATGTACAATAGAATGCTAATGGCATTCGTTAGCTATAAGTAAAACGTACTACTACTCACAGTGTTGAGATGATGTGTTACTTCCTCCCGGAGTGTGTCCTGCACACATTCAAAACTTGCACATTAGTTCCCTTTTCCTTCTTAAGTCATTTCCTGAGTCATTACACTTTGCATGAATTTACAACCATTTTAAGATCATCAGAAAAATATTCTAAAAATACCAGAGAGTCAAGCATGCAAAACTGAGTGAACCCTTTTTCTAGCCTGGGCCGCACGTGCGGCCGGACCCTCCACTCGAGCGGTCATGCACCGCACGTGCGGTCCTCCCCCTCCGCTCGAGCGGCCATAGATAGTATGCATTCCCAATTTTTTCTTCTTTGGCCGCACGTGCGGCCATGACCTCCGTACGTGCGGTGGTGACCCCTGTTTTGGGGCAGCTCGGTTTCAACCCAAATTTCAACATCACCAAGGCAATTTACATGTAACCCAAGATGAAATTCATGCAATATATTAACCTAACATCACCATAACATGAATTATCATTTGAATATCACAAGGTAAACATGATTAAAAGCTTGATCAAGTCATTATTCTTTCAAGTTTCATCCTTTAATTTAAATTCCTTATGTTCATAAAACATAACACATTGTATACATATATATTCCAAGGAGTTGGCATAAAAACCAAAGATTAAAGTAGAATTTCATCCAACACTTAGAGTAGGTTTCAAAACAACCAAAAGAGGAGTATACCCTCTTTAACCAAACATGAATCATGCATAATTAGATCTTACAACCCATGAACACAACTTGATTACACCTACTTGAAGCCTTATTTCTTTTAGCTTCATAAACATATCCAACCCACACACACACACCATTTGAGTAAATAAGTGAATTCAAGCTTGAAGATAAAATTCTCCATTAGATAACCCAACTAATTTAACACAAGAGACCACCATACACTTACTCCTTAAAGACAATAGCATGGAGAAGTTCTTACTTAACTTCAATAGAGGCAAATCAAAAGATCAAACCTACCTTAAGCTTTAGGATCTCTACAACCCCTTTCCCTTCCTCACTTGCTCCCTTGGAGACCCTTTTCTCTTCCTTTCAAACCCTTATTTCTCTCCAAGTGGTATTTCATGTTTTTTATCAAGGTCCAAGAGGACTTGGTGTATATATTCATAAATAAAGGCATATAGGACAAAATTCAATTGTTTAATCATTCCGAAATTGAAATTTCATAAACATGCTTAATATTACTTAAAAATTATGTTGATCACAGATATATAATCAATTTCATATAATTAAGCTGTTAAGGCCTCCAATTTCTGATTCAAATGTGTGAATAGTGACAGATAATGTTCTTGTGAAACAGATAGACACCCTAAAACATAGAGTTCGTTTACTTAATCTTAATTTCTCGTCAGATTTTACAGCAAGCATTAAAAGCACAAAATAAGGACGGAAAATATATCAGAAGACATGTGAGAGGGTCGGGTTATTACACTCTCCCCCCCTTAAATAAGTTTTGTCCTCCAACCTTGTTGTACCTTAGGGCAGAAACAAATGTGGGTACTGGTATTGCATCTCCTCCTCTCTTTCCCACGTTGCGTCGGTTCCATAATGTTCTTGCTATTCCACTTTTACCATTGGAATTTCTCGGTTTCGTAAGTGTTTCACTTGTCGGTCCAAAATGCGGATTGGTTTTTCCTCATAAATTAGCTTGTCATCCAACTCAATTTGGTGGTAATCAATGACGTGTGATGGATCTGGAAGATATCCGCGAAGCATGGAGACATAAAACACGTTATGCACTTGACTCATATGTGGCGGAAGGGCAACTCGGTAAGCTACCAGACCCACTCTTTCTAGAATCTGAAAGGGACCAACATACCGGGGTGTCAATTTACCCCTCTTTCCAAATCTTGAGTGTCCTTTCATCGGAGTAACTTTCACGAACACATGACTATCCACTTCAAATTCCAAATCCCTCCGTCGGTTATCCGCATAACTCTTCTGCCTACTTTGAGCAGTCTTCAGTCTTTCCCGAATGATTTTAACCTTTTCAGTTGTCAACTGAACAATTTCAGGCCCTAGCAAGGATTTATCCCCAACTTCGGCCCAACACACGGGAGAGCTATTATTGAATGGTAGCTATTATTGTACACAAATTCTACCAACGGTAGATAGGTTTCCCAACTTTCTTGAAAGTCTAGCACACACATTTGGAGCATATCCTCAAGAGTCTGTATCGTTCTCTCGGATTGACCGTCGGTCTGAGGGTGGAAAGTTGTGCTGAACTTTAATTTTGTACCCATTGCTTCTTGTAAACTCTGCCAGAATCTGGAAACAAACTTAGGATCCCTATCTGACACAATTGAGACCGGAACACCATGAAGCCTCATAATTTCATTTACGTAAATCACCGCCAATTTGTCTGCATTATACTGAGTCTTTACTGGTAGGAAGTGAGCGGACTTAGTTAATTGGTCCACAATGACCCATATTGAATTCATACCCCGAGGAGTCCATGGCAACCCTACAACAAAATCCATGGTCAAATGTTCCCATTTCCATTCCGGGATGGGAAGAGGTTGCAACAAACCGGCAGGTCTTTGATGCTCTGCTTTTACTTGCTGGCATTGCAAACACTTAGAGACAAACTCCGCGATCTCCTTTTTCATACTTGGCAACCAAAAATTTTGCTTCAAATCTCGGTACATTTTGGTACTTCCTGGATGCATTGAGAACCTTGAGGTATGTACGTCTTCCATCAGTTTTTGCTTAAGGTTTAACACATTGGGGACACATATTCGGTTTTGAAATTTGAGCACTGAATCTACCAAACTGAATCCCGACTTTGGTTTTGTTCCTAACTCATCACATATCTTCCTTATAGCTTCATCTTCTAGCTGATGCAACTTAATTTCCTCAAGTAAGGTTGGTTGGGCCATCATCGCTGACATTAAAGCTTCCTGTCCATGTAGCACAAAGTTTAACTCCATCTTACCCAATTCAATTGCTAATTCCTTTTGCCCTGTAACCAATCTTGCCAAAGTCCCCATACTTTTCCGACTGAGCGCATCTGCAACTGTGTTGGCTTTACCAGGGTGGTAATGGATCTACAAATCATAATCTTTAAGAAGTTCCAACCACCTTCTCTGCCGCATACTCAACTCTTTTTGAGTAAAAAGGTACTTGAGACTCTTGTGGTCAGTATATATTTTGCAGGTAGTGCCATACAAATAGTGTCTCCATATCTTTAAAGCAAAGACTACTGCAGCTAGCTCCAGATCATGCGTGGGGTAATTCTTCTCATGGGGTTTCAGCTGCCGAGAAACATAAGCGATGACTCTTCCATTTTGCATAAGTACACAACCAAGCCCTTTATGTGAAGCATCACTGTAGATTACAAATCCTTCTGTACCGGATGGCAAAGCCAAAACTGGTGCTGTTGTCAACCTTGTCTTCAATTCCTGTAAGGCAGATTCTCGCTCCTCTGACCATTCGAATGTAACTCCCTTTCGAGTCAGTTGTGTAAGTGGCACAGCAATTTTAGAAAAATCTTGAACAAATCTCCTGTAATAGCCAGCTAACCCCATAAAACTACGCACCTTAGTCACGTAAGTAGGAGTTGGCCATTTCACAATTGCCTCAATCTTGTGCGGGTCGACGGAAACTCCTTCCTCTGTAATAATGTGCCCCAAAAATGCCACTTCTCGTAGCCAAAATTCACATTTCTTCAACTTTGCATACAGTTTCTTCTCCCGGAGGGTTTGCAGGAACAAGCGAAGATGGTTCTCATGAGCTTCTACATTCTTTGAATAAATGAGAATATCGTCGATAAAGACCACCACAAATTCATCCAAATAAGGCTTGAAAACACGGTTCATCAAATCCATAAAAGCTACTGGTGCGTTTGTGACTCCGAAGGGCATAACCAAAAATTCAAAATGACCGTACCAGGTTCGAAAAGTTGTCTTCTCAATATCATCAGCCTTGACCTTTAATTGATGGTATCCAGACCGTAGATCAATCTTAGAAAAGACTTGTGCCCCCTGAAGCTGATCAAATAGGTCATCGATTCTTGACAATGGATACTTATTCTTAATTGTAACTTTCTTAAGTTCCCTGTAATCGATACAAAGCCGGAGTGTTCCATCCTTCTTCTTTACAAACAGAACTGGTGCACCCCACGGAGACACACTCGGACGGATAAATCCCTTGTCCAGTAACTCTTGCAACTGCATTTTTAATTCCTTCATCTCAACTGGTGACATTCTCTACGGAGTTTTCAAAATGGGTTGAGTTCCCGGTGCCACTTCAATTGTAAATTCAATTTCCTTGTCTATCAATTGCCCTGGTAACTCTTCTGGAAAAACGTCTGGAAATTCATGAACAACTGGAATTATGTCAGTACCCTCATTCATTATTTGCTCTTCCAAAACGCTACACAAATACCCTCGACACCCTTTTTGAATTAACCTACAAGCCCTTACTGCAGAAATCAAATACGGTGGGGAAGTCACCTCTTGTCCTTGAAATGTAGATTCTGCTTGACCCGGAGGGTGGAAATTAACTTGCTTCGTCAAACAATTTATAGTTGCACCATGTTCACTCGGCCAGTCCATTCCCAGTACAATATCAAAATACATCATGTCGAGAGCTAACAAATTGGCATATACCCGAATATCCCCAAGGTGGAGTTCACAAGCAACATATACAGAAGTACAGATCATAGAATCCCCCAAGGGTGAGGACACACACAATATATAAGATAATATCTCTTCTGGTTTATCTAGATTAGGAGCAAATAGTTTCGACACAAAAGAATGGGTAGAACCAGAATCAAATAAAACAGAAGCAGAATGACCGTGAACCATAAATGTACCTAACACCACTGTTGCTGCATTTTGCACATCTCCCGGAACCAATGCAAATACCCTGCCTTGCCTCACAGTGTCTTTATTGTTGTTAGGTTTGACCGGTGTCTTGGTGTTAGTAGTTGGTGTAGATACCGCTGAACTAGTAGCCGCTCTATTGCCATTTCGTTGATTCCTCTGAGGGCAATCCCTTATCAAATGACCCGTTTTGCCACACTGATAACAGGCTCCAGACTTCCAATGGCACGTCCCACGATGCCTCCTACATTCCGAACAAACAGGAATCGTACCCTGACTAGGGGCAGAAGTATTTGAAGTCCCTGAGTTTTGTTTCTTGTTTGGTGGAATAGTCGCTCCCTTTGACTATTGATTATTTTGCCTCTTTCCTTTCCACTCGGAAATCCGGTTCTGAGCAGCAAGGTTTCCCTCAGTGATAACAGCCCTCTCCAACACATCTACATAAGTAGGCAACTTTAACATATTAACTCGGTCCAGGATAGCACCCCGTAAGCCCCCTTCAAATTTTCGTGCCTTCTTATAGTCCGTGTCCACCATGTGCGGTACAAACCGGGCTAGCTCTGCAAATTGGGCCTCATATTCAGCAACAGTCTTGTTCCCTTGTCTGAGAGTTTCAAATTCAGTCACCTTTTTATCCCGCATGCTTTGAGGGAAGTATTTATCATAAAACAGCTCCAGAAATCTGTCCCATGTTAACCCTGGATGGATTACTCTCGTAAGCATCCACCACCTCCGTGCCTTGTCCTCAAGAGTGAAGGCAGCTAGTTGCACCTTTTGAGCTTCGGTGCAGGGAAAGACTTCAAATAACTTCTCTATGCACAACACCCAGGCCTCAGCTTTCATCGGTTCTATCCCTCCTTTGAAAGATGGTGGTTTTATCTTTTTAAACTCCTTAGTGAGAGTGATAGTTCGGTCTTCAGCATGGAACTCTGGTACTACCGGTGGAGGTACCAGCAGCGGTGGCGGTTGTTCTTGTGGTTGTTGCTGCTGTTGTGGCTGTTGCTGCTGTTGCCGTAAGGTCGCCGCCATTTCCATAATCATTCTCTCCATCCTGTCCAACCGTGCGACAGTAGCATCTTCCTGCTCCTCTGTCCTTGTTCTCACCATGATCTACATAACAATCAATTATATACAATAGACATAGTTCAAAATTATTAACATTATCAGAGTACACTTAATGTTGCCATCAAACTTATCTTATACTTTTAGGATGTCATGCTTGATGCCTAAATCTTTTCTAGACACCCTACAGCTCAATGGATCCGTGTGTGAGATAGCAACTCGTGCTCTGATACCACTTGTCACACCCCTAACCTGCCCCTAAAAGTTTGGGCATGACCTATTCAGAAACGAACATGTAACCTGGTATACATAATCTACAGGGCCTTATCGGAAGCTTAAAAATACTAACATGACATAGATACAAATATACTCCATTGAGCTATTTCTAATATGCCAGGATCTCAACATCACATACATCATCAAAGTCAGATAAAGTTTAAAACTATATCCCTGGATGACAGTTACATACACATACTTTTACAGTCCCAGCCCCATGATAGGGCGTATGCAAAAAACCATAAAAGTTATGTACATCAACCTTAGATGGACACTTAAATAGAAAGCCAACATCTTAACAACTTCACAAAATGGATGGCCTTGTATAGTGCCTGGACACGTAAAGGTTGACAAAAGGAAGCGGCGTCAAGGCTAGGACTGACCTCCTGATTGATGACCTACAGAACAGACATAATAGAGAGTGAGCCAGGCTCAGTGAATAGTAATACATAAAAAAAAAACGATGTTTAACTCGAAGCATAAAACACATCAATACATATAAAGATGCAGAGTTCACATGGTTAGTCTGATTCTGTGCTAAGTACATAACGGCCTTAGGCCCAATCTTGCAACATAAACATATGGCTATAAGCCCTTGAAACGTGATGGCACGAGGCCCTTGGAACATGTGGCACGAGGCCCTTGAAACATATAACACGAGGCCTTTGTAACATATGGCACGAGGCCCTTGAAACATACTTGAAACTTATGGCACGTGGCCCTTGATACATATGGCATTAAAGCCCTTACATCATGAGAATAGGCAAGGTGATCATACATTTACATTTCTTTAATCATTCGCATGGTGCATAATCAACATGTACAATAGAATGCTAATGGCATTCGTTAGCTATAAGTAAAACGCACTACTACTCACAGTGTTGAGATGACGTGTTACTTCCTCCCGGAGTGTGTCCTGCACACATTCAAAACTTGCACATTAGTTCCCTTTTCCTTCTTAAGTCATTTCCTGAGTCATTACACTTTGCATGAATTTACAACCATTTTAAGATCATCAGAAAAATATTCTAAAAATACCAGAGAGTCAAGCATGCAAAACTGAGTGAACCCTTTTTCCAGCCCGGGCCGCACATGCGCCAGACCCTCCGCTCGAGCGGTCATGCACCGCACGTGCGGTCCTCTCCCTCCGCTCGAGCGGCCGTAGACAGTATGCATTCCCAATTTTTTCTTCTTTGGCCGCACGTGCGGCAATGACCTCCGCACGTACGGTGGTGACCCCTGTTTTGGGGCAGCTCGATTTCAACCCAAATTTCAACATCACCAAGGCAATTTACATGTAACCCAAGATGAAATTCATGCAATATATTAACCTAACATCACCATAACATGAATTATCATTTGAATATCACAAGGTAAACATGATTAAAAGCTTGATCAAGTCACTATTCTTTCAAGTTTCATCCTTTAATTTAAATTCATTATGTTCATAAAACATAACACATTGTATACATATATATTCCAAGGAGTTGGCATAAAAACCAAAGATTAAAGTAGAATTTCATCCAACACTTAGATTAGGTTTCAAAACAACCAAAAGAAGAGTATACCCTCTTTAACCAAACATGAATCATGCATAATTAGATCTTACAACCCATGAACACAACTTGATTACACCTACTTGAAGCCTTATTTCTTTTAGCTTCATAAACATATCCAACCCACCCACACACACCATTTGAGTAAATAAGTGAATTCAAGCTTGAAGATAAAATTCTCCATTAGATAACCCAACTAATTTAACACAAGAGACCACCATACACTTACTCCTTAAAGACAATAGCATGGAGAAGTTCTTTCTTAACTTCAATAGAGGCAAATCAAAAGATCAAACCTACTTTAAGCTTTAGGATCTCTACAACCCCTTTCCCTTCCTCACTTGCTCCCTTGGAGACCCTTTTCTCTTCCTTTCAAACCCTTATTTCTCTCCAAGTGGTATTTCACATTTTTTATCAAGGCCCAAGAGGACGAAGCTAGAATTTTGACATTAAATAACATTCTTTTCCAAAAGAAGAAAGCAACCAAAAACTATAATAAGAAAGTCAAGCACATTAGCTTTGATGGAGGTGATTTGGTATGGAAGACAATACTCCCAATAGGAATTAAAAGCCATAAGTTTGGCAAATGGTCACCTAATTAGAAAGGACCATATCAAGTTCATACAGTCTTGCCTTGAGGAGCATATCATTTGAGAAATTTGAATGGGTATGTACACCCTAAGAAAATTAATGGCAGGTATTTGAAGCCTTATTATCCAACTGTGTGGGAAACACAAGGAGTATAGTAAGTGCTAAACAAGAGATGCATGACAACACTCAAATAATAAATAAAGAATTCATTTCATAAGGAGTTAAATACATGCAGCCATAGATTGGCCCAAAAGTCAGTACAATGTTTCAATCGTTCATTTACAATTGATTCTCTACTCTTAAGAGATGGGAACAACTGGATGGCTATAGTCATCTCTTGCCTTCGATCAGCCAGTCCTTGGTTGGTGATTTGCAGCTTGGTGGCAGTTCGATCCAAAGTTAGGTTAACTGCTGATAACTCTTCTTCTAGTTGAGCTTTCTTCTCCAAAAGTTGGCCTCGAAATTGGGAGACAGAGGAATGTTATTCTTTCAATTCAGACACCTCAGTATATATCTGGGAAACAAATTTCTGGTCTCTCAACAACTTCTCCTCTGCACCTTTAGCAACATGACAGATGTTGATATAAAAGTCAATGATAGCTGCTGCCTGAGATAAATGATTTGAAATAGCCATGCTAGATTGCTCAATAACCTTGCAGCACTGTGTAGACGTCCTCGAACGTCTCGGGAGGGAATCCCGTTCTGTTCATATGGGCTCACTACAGTTCAGGACTCAAAAGTCACGGTCCTGTATCTAATCTCGCAGAGTGCAATGCAAGACCGATGAATCATCAAAGAGTCCAAATCCGGCAAATCATTTTTAAAAATAGATTTTTTTGAAAGAAGTGCCAAACATGGACTACTTTGCCAGATACAGAGTCGCCACCTAAATATTTTATTTTGGGAAATTTAGGAAACCCTGACTCGTTTGCCTAAGGCCACGTGTCCGTCATCACCAAAGTTGCCTCGGCTTGGGAACTTGGGTACGATTGGGGAAGGTCACTTCGTGAGCACCCCCGCTCGCCTGATCAAAGATCGGCCTCTACTAACCATGATATCGAGTTTTGAAAACATTAGGTGCTCTTATTCCGGTTATTAGCCTAGATTTACTACGTGATGCGCACAGCATACAAGTATAGACTGGATCGCCTGAATTGGAACAGAACATTTTATGTTTGTTTTTAAAAGATGGTTTAATGGTGCTACTCACAAGTAGGCTAAGACGTGGATTTGCCACCCTCAAGTGGGCTTAAGAAAACATGATTTTGTCACTCTCAAGTGGGCTTAAAACTCTCAATTGGTGAATTGTTCCAATTCAAATAACCCAACCTTCACCCACAGGCATTCAGGCAGTTATATCACATAAGCAGTTAGCCTCATGACAAGCATGCTATCATGGCAGTCACTCACACGCATGCAAGAATGCTAAAGCATAAACATTTACCGAGTACTCCGAACCAAAGAAAGAAGCTAATTAGAAAAGATGCATGAGTCCTAACTATGCTGAAAATGCCTAATACAACACATGCAAAAATGCAACTTAAGATAGGCTCAGCTATTCTAAAATGGCATATGAAATGCTACAGATAACATGTATTCAACTCGAAATTGAAATACAATGTAGTTAGTATGATGCGCCGAGCCCGGTGCATTCAATACAGATGAATGATGCAAACATGCAAGCATAAGTATGCTAATTGAAACATGCCCTAATCTAACCATCATAAGATGGTAAATAAAAGGGAGAAAGATGTGGGGTTGGAAGACATACATCACACACACACACACACACACACACACTTATTACAATTGTGCCCTCGCTCGGAGGGTCCAAATGAATAGTACAAACCATCTAGCTAATCTAAGCTAAATAACAAATTACAGCTAATTAATACACAACATTAATTAATCAACAAATTAACTAAGTAAGCAATAAACTAGCATGCAAACTAAATACAATGGACTGCCTCAGCTCTGTTTCGGATGGCGAAGGGTGTATGCATGCACGAGTCGCCTTGTCGGTAAATTCTATCGCAATGCCTTGCCTCGCCTTTGTTTGCAATTGACCTCAGAAAGTTACACAAAGCTCCAGAAGGTTGAAACTCCACCTTGGGAAGGCTACTGACCAGATATTGGCTTGGGAAACAGCTGCCGACCACCCTTTGTGGTGGAAACCAAAAAAGGTGGTCGGCCTGCCAGAAAACCTGCTCGGCCGACCACTTTCTGCCCCTGGATTCTGGTTTTTCTGCAACACAAAGCAAGAGAGAGACATGGCAAGGTATTTTCAACGAATGTGTGCACAACCACACTCCTTGTCCTTGCACAAGCTCAAGGGAGTGTGACCTCGATCCTCGTGCCACCAATCACGCATCTCGATGCATGATGGCCGAGGAGTCGAATTACACGACTCGATGTGAAATGAATGCATGTATAAACACAACAAGGCCTATACTCCATCATGGTTAATCTGGAGTGTCGGCAACCAGGAATTGAGACACGTTTCGTCACTTAGGGTATGGAACGTCCCTTGTTTCCCGTGCTTGGGCTAACTCCTATCCCAAACACAATGCAAATGAGATGGCATACACAATGCGACTAACATGTAACCTATCATACGCAATGCTATGGACTAAGATGGCATACACAATGCACGCAATGTAACATGGCAAACACAATGCTCTAACATGCAACCTAGCATATGTAAAGGCTATGGACTAAAATGGCATACACAATGCACGATGGACTTACACCAACATGAGTGGACCTCAGCCACACTCACATCAGTGGCCATTAGATGAAATGAGACAACCGAAATGCGTGCACACATGCACAAATACCAAGGACCAAACCTAAGGCATCAAATGCCACTCTACCAAGGCATGGCAGGGGATGAAAGATGGCATGCAAACATGCAATTTCCAGCACTTAAATATGATGTGCAATGGTCCCGAATCATGGAAACATGGCACCCAATGCATGAAAAAGGCCCCGAAACTCAAAACTAGACAAATGCATTGAACCACAAGTATGCAGAGCAAGTATTATTTGGCCATAAGGCATGAAAACAGAGCCAAGGCAGTCCAAAATAAGCACAACATCAGTTTTAAGCATGGCCCAAAAGTGCTAACATGAAGGGCTAAAACAACATGCAACCTAGGCTAGTAAGCATGGTTTACATGGCATGTATATAAAGCATAAGAGAGGTCACCAAACCAGCCCAAAAAAGTAACATGGCATGTCAAATAAACCCCAAATAACCACTAAAATGCATCCAATGCATGCAAAAATGATGAGCTCCTTTGGAGGGCCATGTAGGGGGTTACTCAACACATACATGATGGACATACAAAGTGGAAAAACTACCTCTGGAAAGAGGTTATGAAAGCCCTAAAACTCACTGAAAAGGGCCTGAAATGGGTCAATGAAGCATGCAATGAAAGGTCCCTTTGAAAGGCCTTGAGGAGGATTGCTCTACACATGCATAAAGGACACAAAATATGGCCAAAAGGGCTCCAGACAGAGCTAAGGCAGACCTTAAAACTCACCAAATAGGGCCTGAAATGTGACTTTGAAACATGCAAATGGGGGCCCCTTTGGAAGGCCAACAAAGCTAGTAAAGAGAACAAGGGGTGAGAGGGTCACCCCTCTCTGATTTTAGGGCTCAAAAACACATGTTAGCCACTAAAAATCCACTGGATTTCAGTGGCTAAAAGGCCAAACCAAGGCCATCAAAACTGCTCTAGTACATGGCTCAAAACATGAGGAAATGAAGCATGCAAGGGGGAAGGTGACCCCGAACAGAAAAATGACCTTGAACAAACTTGAAGAGGAGCTCAAAACAAGACTTTTTTTAGTTTATGTCGAAGTCCAAAAATGCCTGAAAATAGGGCTAAACTATGGAGCAAAACAATGTCAAAATGGGGGAAATGGAGACTTACCCTTGAAGAGAAGAAGGCCAGCAGCTTCTGGACCAAAATATTGAGTCTTCAACTTCTGAAAATCAGCTCCAAGGTGCTTGGATGGATGGTGGAGGTGTTGTACTAGGAGGTGTGGTGCAGTGGGACCAAGAACAAGGGTTTTTGGAGCTTGGAATAGAGAGATATGGAGGAGTGTGTGTGCATGAGCCTCTGGAAATTCTGAACCCTAGCAATGGAAGAGGGCCCTTTCCTTTATAGAGGAGAAGGTCTAAAGCTTCTCCAAGAAGCTTTAAAGCTAGGTTGAACATCCTCCATACACGTGTATGGAGGATGCAGCAAATGCCTCCCAGCTGGCACAACTGGAACACACTCACAGAGACAAAGCAGCTGAGAACTGGCCGACCAGTTCAAGTGGTCGGCCGACCACTTGCCCTAGTCAGCCGACCAGGGGTCAAAAGGTTCAAGTTCCAAATCTGGTCATCCATGAAGCCCTTGAAGTTAGCTTTCCAATGCCATAAACCTTGCATTAGAATTCCTCATGTGCAAAAAGTTATGCCAGTTTTGGTGAAGCCGCGCAGATTCGGTCCAACCGGATTGATGCCCTTCTTCAACCAACCATATCTCCCCCACCCGGACGTGGCTTTAGGAAATTATTGAGTGAAAAATGAAGCCCCTAAAGTAAGCTTTCCAATGGTGTCAACCTTGCATCAAAATTCCTCCTATGCAAAGAGTTATGCCCGTTTCGGTGAAGCCGTGTAGTTTCGGTCCTACCCAGATTCATGCCGAACTTCTCCCAAACTAGTTTTCTTCTCTCTTCTCCTTTTTTCTTCAACTCCAAACCCCTAAACAAGGTGTTTTGAAAGTTTTTTTAAAGATTTCATCTCTCTTTCATTCATTTCCACTCTGTCCTGACTTGGTTTATCGAAAAGCGTAACATTTAACAAAATGTGAGCCTCGGAACATTGTAAAAACTTTAATTCAAAAATATTTTGAAAGAGAGGATTTTAAGGTCTAAAAACCATTCAAAATAGCTTTGGTCCAAAATAGGGTATGAAGTTGAGATTTGACTCTCCCCTTGCCGAAGAAACTGAACTTTTGCCTTGCACACCTTTCTCCACCAAGTAAACCATCAGTAGTGCCCAAGTCTTAAGGGCGGTCAAAAATGGGGTGTCTACACACTGGAGGAAACCATTCCTGATAATAGGTCTTTGCAAGGCTTCAAAGGGGATCCTCGAGAACAATGTCAGCAACTCCAAACAGCTACCCAAATCCAGTGAAGGTGAGGAAGCCCTACTGATGGTGAAAGAGCTCTCAAAAATTTCCAAGAGAGAATCAACCAGAACCAATGGCTCAGTTTCATTACTGGCTGTTGGAATAGTAGAAGGCATATCAAAAAGGCTAGCTCGTCTAGCTTCAAAACTGCCCATCTCTTCTATTAACATGGTTGGTGCAGAAAGGGCTCTAGTAGAAGGAAAAGATGGCTGCATAGGGATAGGAGAGGAGAAGTCAATGAAGATAAAGGGTTTGTGTGTTTGGCGAGCAAGTAAATTAAAAGCACAAAAGGAAAGGGTTTTTAAACCTTTTTGTCTGAAAAATGCCTAATCGTTTTAAATGGGTAGAATTCATAAAGAAGTACTGAAGGTATGGATGCAAAAAGTTTTTCTCAATATTGATAATTTGGGAGGGAAACGTATCTCAAACACTTGTATTGGCTTCAAAATCAAATATTTGGCTTCGAAGCCTATCTTTGGCTCCAAAGTCAGGTGACAAACGTCCAGCTAGGGCTTCGAAAGCAGGAAGTCGACTTCGAAGCATAGTTCATACCTAAGAATACAAGAATGCTCATGTGTTTGTTTACTTTAAGAGGATTAAAGACTTGCTTTTAGGTTTCTGGTTGAGAGTAAAATCCTTTAAGGTAAAATTTGAAATACTCTGCAGCTAAAATTTGTTTGTTCTACACTTTGAAGTGGCAAAAAACCAATATTTGGTTAGGCAGTGAAGGACACGAAGGGACTCACTATTTTAGAATAAAATAGTTCAATCCTTAAGGGAAATTTCTATACTTCGAAAAACATAGATTGTTTTTTCAAAGCCAAAATAGTTGATTTGAAATTGTTAATTGTGTTAACCATATGATTGGAATGAGAAGACCTAAGGCAAAGATTATCAATTACACTCCATATGTTGGGGAAATTCAAATTAGGTTTCCAGTATTCCATTGGAAATGTTCAAATCAGGTTTCGAAGGACAAACTTGGCAAATTTGAAGCTCTGATTTTGTTTGTTTTGGGCAAATAGAATAAAATCAGATCATGCTGAATAGATCGTGCTGAATAAAGAAAGGAAAACTTAGCTTTATTAAGATTAAAGTAATTAAATCAGAAAACCTTTTAGACTACAAATTCAATTTCGTAGAAATAAGGAATAGAAAAAATAACAAGGTCATGGAATTTGTTCTAACAATGGTCAATGAATTTCTGTTCCTTTTTTATTCTGTCTTCTATCCTCTCCAAGCTAGGTTGCTATAGTTGATATGCTCTTATTTGATAAAAAAAGTTGTTCAGCTTTTATTTCGAACTCTGTTTCCTTCAATCC